ACAATCTGCAGGATTTTAAACAACTCATCGGGCAGAAGGATGGCCTCCACCCAGCAAAATATGCTCCAGTCCCAACCATCCTTCAGCATTCCTTATCTCCACGCGGGTTGAGGATGGCTCATTTTACTCGCCTGGAGAGGAAATCCATCTCCAAGTCACCAAAGGAGCCTCGGCTGCAATGGCCTTTTCATTAACGTGGTGGCAATAAAGCACAGCAGCATTCCCTGGCTGTCATGGGGAGGGGAGCTGGGAGGAATATTAAAGGGGAATTCGCTGGCAGTGGATGCAGGGAGGAAGGCAAAACCTGTGGTGGGGCACAGCTCTGCCCCTCCACCACCCAAACTCCACCTGGAGAGGGTCACCAGTCCCCCAAGTGCCACCAACCTTCCCTCAACTCCTGCTGAGCTCAAGACAAGCTCCGAGTGTTCATTGGGAGCTGTCCCAGCAGGCGTGAGGCTCTCTGGGTGGCACAGCCATTCTCTGGCCCCTTGGCCACCAGCCAGTGCTTGGAGGGGCTGCAGCAGCTCTTCCTGAGCTGGGCACTTCACTGGGCACCTCCAGCCTGCAGAGGCACCTCCCTGTCCCTGCCCTCCTGTCCTGGCCAGTGGGGCTGGGAGTGTTCTCAGCCCTCAGATGAGTTAAACCTCCCTGACAGGCTCGATCTGCCTCTGGTTCCCCGTGATGTTTTCACTTCCAGTTGGCTCTGGCAGCGACAAACCTGCTCTGACACCTTGGCTGTGGCTCAGTCTCATTCTCCCCGTGTGATCTGCTTCTCCCTGTCTCTTTGCCGTGCTCGGTGTGAGCTTTGCACTGACAAACCCGTTTTGATCTCCTCCCCCTGTGCTCCCCCCTCCCAGCAGCTCCATCTCTGTAATTCTTCCAGATACGGCATGACTGCTTTATTTAATAAGAATAAAGGAGTACCCGTGCCCAGGGAGTTCCCTGCAAAGCAAATGCTCTGGATCTAATCTGGAGAACATGGTCACACTTGGTTTCCTTACAGTTGCCCCCTTGGCCCATGATCCTTGCTTTCTTAGCCATGGATTTTTCAATTCCACTGGAGCAAAATTCCCCGTGGGTCTTGCACCACAAGGAACAGGGCTCTGAGCTCCTGCTCCTGGCTTAATCCCCGTTTGCAATTTACAGAAGCTTTGGCTAAGGGTGAAAGGTTCTGTGTTTCATTACAAAGCCTCTGCTAACCTGCCCTGTGCAGCACTTCTTGTCACAGCACAGCAGCTGCTCTGAAAAAAAATTCAGTGTCTCGGATCCATCCCCAGCTCCAGCAGCCATTCCCTGTTCCATCCCCATGGAACAGCAATAAGACCACGAAGAACTTTGAAGAGCAGCCCTGCTCACAGGTGTTCTGCCCACAGGCACGCCCAGTGCACCCCACAACCAGCTCTGCTTTGCATCCCCCTTGAAGTGTTTCCAGACACACCAAATAATGATCCACTGGAAGAGATTCTTGCACTTACTGCGGGTTTTTTTACCTCCTGAAGCTCTCGGAGCACTTCAAAGGGAAAGAAGCTCTGCTATGCTCGTGCTGCAAAAGGGGAAAGCTCCATCCACGAGGCAGAGATGGAAAAGCAGAGGCCCCAGGCCGGTGGGTGGGAACCAGCCCTCACTGCCTCCAGCAATCGATGTGTCTTTGCTCTTAACGCCCACCTAAGGAAAATCGTTTCATCCCTTTCTCCGTGTCTGTGCCTCCAGAAGCACAGACCCTTCCTCTGATCAGAAATACATCATCTCAGAGCACACGTTTGTGGTTAATGAAACAGCCTGCCTTTAGAAATGTACCCTATTCTACTGAAGTCCATCTCCTCAGAGATGCCTTTGTCACCTGTGAAACAACAGCAGCCGGCATCACTGGGACCCAAAATCCCTTTGAGAGGGATCTGTGGTGCAGGCAATGCTCCCTTGAATCCCTCTCCTTTGCAGCTGCCCAGTAACAAAACACGAGCACAGCCTGTTCAAAAATCAAAGCTGGAGGTCAAACAGCTAAAAGCTCCAAATTTGACACTTCCTATCCCATTCATGGGATTTCAAAAGAGAATGCCAGCTTGGAAATTATGCTATTAGCAACAGCTGCTGGCTCCCAGCTCTGGAAAACGCTGCCCTTCTCTTGTCACACCGTCCAGGAGCGGAGCCCAGGCCCCTCTGTAGCTGTGGGTTGTTAAATGGGTTGGAGCAGCATGTGGAAGGGGTGGTGCTGGGGATGTGGATGCAGCAGGAAGGGCCATGGGAGCAGCAGCTCTTCCATGGCTTTGGCTGCTGCTCTTTGCTCTCTCAGGTCACGGGTGGGAACCAGAGCCTGAAGCTCCAAGTCTGGGGCACTGGGGAGAGGGAGCTGCTCCCAGACCCAAAGCAAGTCCTCCAAGAGCTCCAAGTGCACAGACTCACAGAACCCCCAGACTGTGTGGCCTGGAAGGGACATTAAAGCCCATCCACTCCAATCCCCCTGCCCTGGACAGGGACACCTTCCACTTGGCCAGGTTGCTCCAAGCCAAGGATCAGGAATCCAAAACCTCTCTGGGCCAGAGCCTCACCATCCTCACAGAGTAAAGGATTCCTTCCTTAAATCAGATCAAAGCCTTCCCTTCCTCAGCTGGAACACTGAACCTTTGCCAAACTGGCCACAGCCTTTCCCAGCTCTAGGGCTCCTCATTTAATACCTCAAACATCTTTATTACTTCAGAATGCTGAGTGATTCCCTGATTCCACAATCTTGGTGCCCACCTCTCTTCCAGCTTATGCGCACAAAGCAGAGGAGACCTCTCAGCCTAAAGCTTGAGCTTAAAATGCAGTTGGCACTTGGGTGGACACTTGCAGAGGAAATTTGAAAGCCTTGGTGTGTTCCTGAGCACTCCCAGTGAACCCTGTGAGATTTGCTCCTGCAGATCTTCCTAGGCAGCAACAGCGAGAGCACAGGAGGCGGAAAGCACATCTTTACATTTCCCCCAAGCTGTCTCCTGGACAGACAATCCCATTAAGTGAAGCAGAGGGACCTGAAGCTGTGTAAAAGCAACAAGGTGAATCTCCTTAGTGCAGAAGCCTGACAGATGAGAGCAAAATGCCGGATTTAACTCCAGTGTAACACAACAGAGCGCAACGTGTCACCGGAGGGTGAAATGCAACCGCTGCACACAACCAGGTGAGCTCCCAGCTGCCAGCAGAGATTTCATTTAGGCTTCCCTCTCCAAACAGAGGGACTTCATTGGGAGATAAGAGAGTCAAATGAGACAGCTTTGAAGCAATATGCTCAAGGTCACCTAAGGAATTAATTGCAGAGCAAGAAGCAAACTCAAATCCAACCACGATGCACACTTAGCCCCAAAGCCACTCATTATAAGACATACCATTTATCAACATCTATCAAATTAGGCAGAGTACCATAAACCCAGGCTTGTGGAGCATTTTTTAAAATGGCAGGAGAGGAAATGCAGTTTCCCAGTTCTTAAGAGCGTCTCATGGAGAAAAATACTGGTGTAATAAAAGTATTTTAAAAGGCACCTCATGTACTATTTATCTACTATTCAACAGTCTCCCTAAATCTGAGTGCAACACGTTGGTAATGGGTATCTCAGACACATAATTTAAAGTGTTACTGAAATTTCTTCCACGCAGAAGATCGTCTGCTGAGATCAAAGACTGATGCATCCAGTGACTCTGTCTGTGACAAAAGAGAGAGATTTCTAACATTGAATTACAGTGTTAAACAAATGGAGCTCGTCTCCCCCAAGAACGCTTCCCTTGACACTTCGGAGTACAAAGTTTGTGTTAGATAGGCCACTTGGAGAGAAATAACAGCCTGTCTGGGAGTGACTCATGGAAGGAAGCCACGGTGCTGGGAGGCTGGGGAGAGGAGAAATGCACCCAGAAATCAGCCACCAGGCCAGAAATTAGGGAGAATATAAAGTTCTGGTAAACATAAGTTGGAACAGGCTCCCCAGGGAATGGGCACGGCCCCGAGGCTGCCAGAGCTGCAGGAGCCTTTGGACACTGCTCTCAGGACAGGGTGGGATTGTTGGGGGGTCTGGGCAGGGCCAGGGGTTGGACTGGACGGTCCTGGCGGGTCCCTTCCAGCTCAGGCTATCCCACGACTCCATGTCCAGGTCCCAGAGTTTATATCCCATAGAAACCATCTCTGCTCAGCCTCCCTGAAGCAGCACCTGCCCAGGAGCAAACACCTGCCTTCACCCCTAGAGACCAACACATCCCTCAAGGAACACGGTGAAAACTTGGGGAAATAAAGGCAGGAGACTCCTACACTGTTTAGGAAGCAGTGGGAATGCCCATCTTCAGACACGCTGTAATTCACCCACCTGAGAGAACGTCAGAGTGTTCCAGTCCCAGCCATCCTTCACCATTCCCCATGTGAGGAACCACATCCCTTTAATCCTTTTAAAATTACCTCCAGGTGGGTGATTTTAAAAGGAAGCTCCCCAGTGAGGGCCAGGATGAGCATCCTCCCAGTCCCTCCACACCGGGCATGGAGGCACAGCTGGAACTCACCATTCCTGGCTGGAGACTCATGCTCTCCAGCTGTTCATAAATAAATAAAAATAGCCTTCTCCCAAACTCACAGCGTGGGGGTGGTGAGGAGGGCTGTGCAGGAGGTTCCCTCCAGTGGAGCTGTGTGCCCTGGCTCACTCCTGACTCATTCCCTGGAGCTGGCTCTTCGTTCCCTGCTCACACAGGGGATTCTTCCCAGTGCTCTCCAGCCCAGGCTCTTCAAACACCAGGAGCTGTAGTTTTGTTGCAGGTTGCACAGAGTTTGGGAGGTGCTTTTTTCTCCTCTCCTGGCTCCAACTGTTTCATTTGTTCGATTTTGCTGAACCACAGGCATATTTGCACTGAAGATACAAGGAATTCTTTGCTGGGTTTTCCCCACCAGCTTCCTGCCCTGAATATCAAATACTCAGGGCTGTACATCCATGCCTGCCACCTACATGGATGCTTGGATTCCTCGCATCAGTGGGAGCAGGGAAGGCTTCCTTTCATTTGTTTTCTTTACAGGATTGCAAAGCAATTTCAGAGGTGTTCTCTGCAGGGAAAAAAATACCTTCAAAACACGATAAACAAGCAGCAAAACAGAGCTGTCTTGGGAAGCAGAGGGAATCCTGCTCTCCCCACCGCAGTGGGCACACACCAGACCCGCCTTTCTCCACCCCCCAGGTGCTCCCAGGGCTCTTTTCCCACATTCACCTGGCACAGGCGGAGGCTGCAACTGGCTAACATCTCTCTCACAGGCTTGTGGGAGGACACTCAGCTAGAAAAGATTCCCAAACAAGCTCCTGGCATGGCAAAGGGTGGAGGAAGGGGAAGAAACCTCCTGCTGCTGGTCTCAGACCTAAACATGCCCGAACTGATGGCAAGGCCGGGTCACTGCACTGCTGTGAAGACAATGCTCGGGTCCTCCGACCCCAGTGCTGCTTTCCACTCCATTTGCAGCTGGAAATTGCTCTGGTTTTCCCTGTCTCTCCTCGTGTCCTGTCACTCCAGGTCCCCAGCCCGCTCCCCCACCCGTGGCTGGATCTTTCTCCCCCGGTTACCGTCGCTAATGTCAGAATCATTCCATCTGACAAAGTCTCTGCTCGGCCGTGTCTCCCCTGTCTCCTTGCATCTCTGTCAAGGCCCTTTCCACATGTCTGAGCATTTTCATGACATATGGTGCTGGGACAGGGGAAGGGAGAGGAAACCCAACACCCTGCACAGCCGGGCAGAGCACACGGGGCGGGGCTGGAAGAGGTGAAGAAGGCACCTGAGGAGGATGACCTTGGAGAAGGTTGGTCCAGCACAGTGTTCAGCTCTTCTCTCACCCCTTCCACGGTCGATTACCCAGGGGAAAAGGCACTTTGAGGGCTCTGCTGTCAAGAATGGCTGATCCTGCTTTACGCCTCTATTTTGGACCCCTACATTGTGGCCACCAGTCACACACAAAGGCACAGCCTGACTCTTCCTTAGGCCAGGAGGTGTTTTATTCTCCACTGGATTTGACTCACATCCCCAGACTGGGTTAGAGTCGGGCAGGCCACACACACCCTGCAGCTTGGCAGCGTTTCAGTGGTGTAGGGACCCACCCAAGGCTGCAGTACAGACACTCACACTGCCCCAAAATGTGCGGGTCTGAACCCCCACTGCCCCAAATGTGGGGGTCTGAACCTCTTCCCTGAATGCAGAACGAACCCAACATCACCTCCAGCCCAGCAACCCTTCCCCCAAGGTGCTGCAGTCTTAAGACTACTTTTCTCAAAGCTCAGTCTTAGCAGATCCCAAAGCTTCCAGACAGCTAAGAAGCCCCAAAAGTCCTTATAAGACAGGATATTCAGGAGAATCCTAGTGGATTTCTCCCTAGGTAATTACATTTTGTCTTCTTATAATCCTCCTGGTATTTAATTCTTCTTCACCTGTCGTAAACTGGTGGGAGATGTGGCAGATGAGGACAGTGGCTTGTGCTCCAGGCAAGAAAACAAAGTCATCTTGTCTTAAAGAAATAAGACACACTCAGCTACCAAAGACTAAAAAGAAAATGGACCCAGATCCAAAATACTCCAGCACCCCCCAGCCTGGCAGCTCCAGGACAGGGTGACAGCAACACCCACGTTTGAAACATCTCGCCCCTTCAGGAGCTCTAATCCCACTGCAAGCCAGCTGAACTTCAGCTCAAGTATTTTGGCAAATCCCATCTCTGGCAGATTAAGGAGAAAGCCAGCAGGGACACAAATCCTTCCCAGCACCAAGAACTTGCTGCAGAGCCCTGGACACTTGGAACAGCCTGGGCTACTGGAAGGTGCCCCTGCCCATGGCAGGAATGAGATGAGCTTTGAGGTCCTTTCCAATCCAAACCAGTCTGGGATTTCAGGATTCTCTAAGACCAGCAGGCTGCACAGGGAACAAAGCATAGATGGATGAATCTGGCACATATGGGTGGATTATGCTTTTTCAGCTTTGTTCAGTGGTGCTGCAGCATCTGGTGTTTATTCGCTATCCCTCACATATTCCTGGGGTTTGAGGAAGCTTCACAGGAGTCTCCAAGTACAACAGCTCTGAGCACACTCCCAGTCTGGCTCTCACATGAAACACCCAACAGAGGTAAAGGCAAACAGGTGCACAGTCAGTGTCCCAAAGTGTGGCACTGGGGACCAAGAGATGACTGGTGAGAGAAAAAAGCACACTTTGCTTCTGAACATTGTATTTTATAATCTGCAACAAAGCCTTGAATGAAAATCAGGAACCACAAAAAAAACCCACCTCAGTTCCCAAATGAAAAATGAGCCCCCAAAGCTACAAGCAAGAGGCTTGTGCTGCCTGGGTTCTTTGCTCTCTGCATTGTATTAAAAACAAATAAGTCAATAAGGAATACCAGACAAAACAGTCATTTGTCAGCTGACATGAGGGAAGGATGAGGATACACTTCAGGAATTTATCAAAAAAATCTGTTGAGCTGTGCAACTTTTTTTTTTTTTTTTTTTTTTTAAACAAAGATGCTGAAAAGAAAGCGGCTTCCCAGCTGAACCTGTAAGCTGCTCAATGAATTATAAAGCAGAAATACCCCCTTAACACCCAGCATTACCTGGCAGCCTATCTACCATTTCTGCCAAGGCTGGAAAGCCGGTGGATCATGGCCAGTGCCTTCTGTCCTCCCCATTTTCAGTCAGCCTGGAAATGGCTGGAGCCTCTGAGTTGTACAGAGACTCTTCTAATACAAATATCTGCCTGCCTTCCTCTGGGCGTGGGGGAGAGGGGAATATTTCCAAAGTGTGCTCAGTGCTGAGCAAAGTTTGTTTGAACTGGGCTTAGCTGCAACAAGAGCAGCATTAAGCCAACCTCAAGCACTTGTGAAAACACTCTGCTTTAAATAGTGCCTCTTCAAGCTTTAACGTCATGTAAAGCTCAAGAAGATTTTATGGGCCACCGAGAGCATCTAAAGCCTTGGCATCCCATCTGCAATGCCAGCAGCTCTGCAGCAGCAGCACAAAGGAGGTTTGAAGGGTGGCTGTGATCCCCAGGCAGGCCCAGCCCAAATCCACACACCTTCCCAGCAAACCAAGCTGGGAACCAGCCCTGTACCCCCTAAGCCTTCTGCACTTCTGTGGGGTTCCAGCCATGAGGCAACATCCAAATGGGGTGCTCGGTGGCTCCTGAAATGACTCCTCAGCAACCCCTGGATGCTGTTCATTCCTGTCACCAGGGTCTAAAGCTGCACTCTTGGGCCAGGCAGGCACTTTGCATGCTCAAAATTCATTAAAGTCAAATACTCCTAAGACTTTTTACACATGGAAAAGCAGATGAAGGTGAGACGGAGCGGTGCTGTGCAGTACAGGCAGAGTTTTATTTAATGAAAGTGTATTTACTCAGAAGAGCTGAAGGGTTGCTTCTTCACAGCAGGTCAGGGGCTGCTATGCAAATACTAATAAATATTTTGCACTTTTCAAGAATGCTTTACCCAAGTGCTCTGCAAGCATGAACTGCACCAGACCTCCCAGGATCTGGAAGGAGCAAGGGAGAGAACAGGAACAGACACTTTGTCCATGACAGAAGGACAGAAGCCTCTTGGGCTGAAAGCAGAGACATTTGACAGCACCAGCAGCTTTCCCAGCTTCCCCACGAAGCTCACCTCACACTTTTGTGGTTGGCAGCTTTCTAGAAACAGCAGCTCCGCATCGTTCAGAAAACAGAGTCATCTGTGGTTCATTACTCCCAGCAGATTTCATAAGGGATCCTGCCTGGTGCCTCAGCTGCTCCTGAGCCAGCTCAGCCTGCAGGCTCTGCTGTGGTGCAGAACAGCAAAGCTTCTCATCAAACTCCGCACACAGGACAAAAGCCACCACAGGGATGAGTTCCTGAAGCCTGGAGAGATTTGTGCTTTATGAACTGGAGTTCTAGGGGGTCTCCTTGGGCTGGGGGACAAAGTGTGCAAAGGGCTTTGCTGGTCAGTTCAACAGCTGAGAACCAGAGGCAGCTGAGAACAATTCCATGGAGAGGAACGGTCTCTGCCTTGCACGACACTGGGGGAAAAGAAATAGCCAAGGGTGGCTCGAGGCAGAGGGATGTTACAGAAAGGCTCAGGAGAAGGTGGCACTGAGGTCTCAGGTTCCCAAAAGCCTCCCCCCAGGGGAGCTGTAAGATACCATGAAAGATTTATGGATCCCAAAGGAGCAGTTTCCCTTCCCTGTGCCTGCAGTTTGCAGCCAGCAGCCTCTGACAGGGGAGGGCTGGGAGCCTTCCTGAGGGACAGGAGGGGGATCCACAGCCCTGGGAGCTGAGGCTGTGCAGAGCTGGGATCACACCACAGGACAGCAGGGCTGTACTTCTGACACAGCAAATCCAGGCTGTTCCCTTCTGCTGAAGTCCCATCTCTGAGGGGTTTGAGACACAGACACCAAATCCTGCTGCTGGTGGAAGTGGCAGCCCACAGATAAATCCTGGAGAGCTGCAATGGGGAATTCCCACAGCAGCAGAGCCCGAGCTGCCCGGAGCCAGCAGAGCTGCACTTCCAAGATACCAACCTTGAAATCAATACCGAGATTATTGATGCAGGAAGGAAATCCAGACTGGCAGGGAAGCCTGGTCAATAGTAACCCCAGTGGGTAATAACTTTTAATGGAGACCAGGGAAAATTCCAATCTGAATTCTGTGCTGGGGCAAAACTCTGCATACACTGATTATCTCAGCCCCGGAGCAAGGCAGAGGCTCCTCACTGATATCTGCTAATCTTGCCAGTGACCAGCTCAGGTGCCAAGGTCTGGGAATGCACATCACTGCTGAGGGAATGAAAAGAGAAACCCCATTAGCTGCTCCCAGCAATCTGTCTGGCAGAAGACGAGCTGCTAATGCCGACTGCCTTGAAAATCAGAGTAAGAAATTCAACCTGCACAGTCAAGGCCAGAGTCAGGCATGTAACTCAGTGATGGCAGCAGTTCAAGCACTTAAACTGTCTTTTGAAACCACAGTAAAATCCTGCTGTCCTATCCCTCTTGGAAATGGACTCTGCTGAATGTCAAGGTCCTGAAAGGCAAGAGCACAACAACAACAAAAAAACCACCCCAAACCAGCTCTGCTTGACTGAGGCTGGGAGGACTGCAGCAATTTCCCTTCACGTGTCAGCAAAATCTCATCAGCCGCATAAAAACACAAAAAGGGGTTTAAGTTGCCAGGAGGGCATCCTCGGGACTGGGGCAGGGGTGACTCCACACCACAATTCTGATGGGGAGAAGATTTTGGAAGCAGCAAAATCCCACCTTTGGGGAAGCATTTCTGGGGTGCTGCAGATCCACACAAACTGCAGGAGCACCGTCCTGCAGCTCCAGGGGATGAAGAACCCGTTCTGCACGTCACAGACAGCAACAGCTCTGACCTCTGTGCACGGGTTTCTAAGCAGCCATTGCCTAAGCTCCCCTTTATTCCCCAGAAAATACCTGCAAAACAGCTTTAGAAGAACAAACAGCTCCTTCTGGCCCTTTGCAAAGACTCAGGCAGGCCAATACTGCCTTGGGAGAGCTGAGGTAACCCCAGGCATGAGGAGCTGCAGAGAGAGGTGGGAAGGGAGGTTTGGAGTTTGGAGAGCAGGGTTTTCCTCGGAGCAATGCTGGCGTAGGGGCTAAAGGCTGCCAGCACCCAGGGAAGCAACTGGCAGAGCCTGACAGCCCTGCAGGAGGATAATTGAGCAGACAGTGCTGTGCAGACGAACTAAAGTGTTTACTGGCTTTAATATTTAATTGTGTCAAATGAAGAGAGAGGAGCTGGGGAATTGGAGCTGCAGGGAGAGGCACGTGTGTGCTGGGGGCTCTGCTCCTGCCGTGCCAAGTCGGGCACCCAGATGAGCCAAAGCACCGCTGGGGTGTGCCCAGGGGTCCCCCTGCCCTCTCCCTGGCTCCACTTTGGGAGGACACTGCAGGCAGAGCAGGGGAAGGCAAAGGCACCACATGCAGCAGCCGTGGAAACAAACGTGGGAAATCCATCTCCATGGGTTCCACCCAGCCTCATGGATGAGGAGAGTATTGGCATCCACATCCCAACACAAAATCACTCAGAGGTGTGAGCCACCTGAAAAGGGCTCTCCCAAATCAAGCACTGCTCCTCTGCAGGATGGCTTTTCTCCTTAGGTGTTGGAAGGTGGCCAGGGAGGGGAAGTCACCATCTCTGGAAGTGTTCTGCATGTGGCACTTGGGGTGACTGTGGTGGTGCTGGGGATTAGGTGATGGTGAGATCTCTTCCAGCCTTGATGATTCTGGGGTACACAAAGAGATGCCTTGCACTGCCACTGCTCTGATCAAAGGCTTGGAGGGAAGGGTGCACATCCCCTGCACCCCGAAAATCCCAGCAGGTCACCCACTGCTCCTGTTGCCTCTGCTTATGGTTGTTCACCTGTCTGCAGGAAAGGGCTTTGCACCACGATTTCCCTTGGGATGGAGGCTGGGAGAGCACAAATGCTGTCATACACACACAGCCCTTCCTATTCCTTCCCCAAAGGATACCAAATCAGCTCCAAACAGGCCTCTGGAAAGCCCTGCAGCCCAGCAAGGGAAGAGCCTGGACTACTGTGTTACTGAAGCCACTGCTTGTGTTCTCTCTCTGCCTTTGGCCAAAGCCAGTGTGGAAATTCAAAGGAAGGCTGGCTCCATAAATATTGCAGTGAGAACAACACAGGCCCTTTGCTGGATTATCACCGCTAAAAGGAGCTGCAAAGCATCCAACTCCAGGAATGAAAGATGCTAATGGAGCGTTCCCAGCGGACAGCAGGGCTGTAGATTATGGGGAGCTGCTTTCACATCCTGCAAAATGTGCAGATTTAAATAACGCTCCCCTTTCACACGGAATAAATCTCAGCGCTGGCCACAAACACACACAGCTCAGGCCCTCGCTGGCCCATTCCAGGGGGCCAATGGCTTGTGGGAGATACAGGTGATGGATGGAACACCTGGAATTTGTGTCCACTGCCCCCAAACACTCTCTGACATGAAGGCTGTGCCATGCCTGCATGTGCATCTCTCTAGCCACAGCATGCTTCAAACACACAAAAAAAGGGTTAAGATGAATTTTTCTCTCCAACCTTTTAATTAAGCCATTAGTCTCTTCCCCCTTAACCCAGGAATGAGGGGCCTGTCTTCACAGGAGCAAATGATTTCCCCAGAGTAATGAAGATGCATTATCATACAGAAAAAAATCATTAGTTGCTATGTCCAGAACAATGCGATTGCTCAATTACTGCACTAAAACAGATCACAGCCTTCCCAGCGCTCCGCGTGCGAACTTGGAGGAGATGCATCCAAATGGATGTGCCCAGAAAAACAGCACTTGTTCAGCAGAAGACCTGGACCACTACAAAGGTCCAACCCAAATGTGGATGCGACAGTTTAGTCAGAGAGAGAAGCCAGATAAACTTTCCCAGGAATTGTCCTGGGGAGTGTTGAGAAGGCTGAGAGAAAGAATTAAAACCATCTTGCAGCTGGTGTTTTGAACAGTTGTTTTCTCATAAGATGTTTACCAAAAGGTGTCTTCTTAATTAGCCAGTGGTGTGGGGGGTGTTGATTAAATGACCAATCAGGTCCACCTGTATTGGAACCATGTATAAAAGAATGGGTTTCTAATAAACTCGGATTAACCTGCTGGAAATGCATGGAGTTGTGTTGCCTTCCTTCCCGTTCCTGACTCTATGGTGACACCTGAATGATTTCCCACCCATGCCTTTGCTCACTTCATATTTTTCACACCACAGGATTTTCCCAACAGGATTTTCTCCAAGTGCTTTACAACAAAGGAGTTGGGATGTTGGGAGGGAAAGTTTTCCTTCGCACCGAGAAGGTCCCGATGACTTTGGTAAGGATTCACCAGGAAACACTCAGCACTCTGAAGGGACTGCTGGTGAAAGAGCAGGTTTTGGAACCCAGCACACCACCAGCCACAGCCTCACGGGGCCCCTCGGGGTGAGGAAGGATCAACACCAGGGATTGTCAGCTGGGTTTGGTTCCCTCTCTTGGAAGGGACTGCCAGAATCATCGAGTCCAACCCCAGACACCCCAACAATCCCACCCTGTCCTTGAGAGCATTGTGCAAAGGCTCCTGGAGCTCTGGCAGCCTCAGGGCCGTGCCTATTCCCTGATCAGTGCCTGACACCTTCCTGGGGAAGAACTTTTTCCCTTCATCCCATCCCTCCATCCTTCATCCCCCTCCAAAGCTCTAGGTCAGCTGCAAAATTCTGTTCACCCCCAACTTATCTAATGAGGATGATCCAACCCCCAATTTCCCCTCTTTGCCACCCCCAGAATGATTAAGAGCAGGGTTTAGTCACCCAACCAGGGTCCTATTATTCCTTCAAATGGATAATTTCGGTCCTTCTCTCACCTACTGAGATACCCATTAAAAAATGACTCATTAACTCTTCCCCCTGTATCTTTGGCACAATAATTCCAACACAGATGTGGGTCATGCAAAGATGTTCATGAGCTCCCATCAAACCCATTTGGCCAGAAAGGGGAGGAGTGGGTGTCAAAAGTGAACGGTTTATTTAGACATTTTCTCCTCTACGTGAAACATTTAGACGTTTCCCCCGCAAGGCACCTCTGAAGTTAATTTACTTTAAAAAAAGGTTTTTAAAATCTGAATAAAATAACATATTGTATCTAATGAAATGTTTTATTTGACCTGAAAAAAATATTTTTCTTCATGTTTTTGGTTAACCCAGTACAGCATGTTTTCTTCAGTTTTTCAGTTCAGACAGACAAGGGCAAAAAAGAAAAAAAAATCCATTTCAGAGCTGCAAACAGACCATTCTGAAACAGTTGTCACAGAGACTGCAGCTTATGTTAATATTAAAGTACTGCTTTAGCAATTTATGAACATTATCTGGAAAGCGAAGGCACAAATTAGCAGAGATGAAGGAAGTTACCCGAGTTAATGCATTTTTGGCACTAATATCCTTCTATTGTTCAACTCATCTGAAAGAGCTACAGGTCTGCAGTGACAAACCAGGGAGAGCTCGATGGTTAACGCAGCTTGGAGATGATTCCCAGTTGGAGAACAAGGCACACACAATGCTGGAATGGTTTGGGTTGGAAGGGACCTTCTAAAGCTCATCCAGTTCCACCCCACTGCCACGGGCAGGGACACCTTCCATGGTCCCAGGCTACTCCAAACCCTGTCCAACCTGGCCTTGGACACTTCCAGGGATGGGGCAGCCACAGCTGCTCTGGGAAATCCATTCCAGGGCCTCAGCAACCTCACAGGGAACAACTTCTTCCTAATATCTAAATTTACCCTCCTTCAGCTTGAGGTAATTTTCCCCTGTCCTGTCCCTCCATTCCTTGTCCCCAGTCTCTCTCCATCTTTCTTGTCAGTTCCTTCAGGCTCTGGAAGGCCACAGTTCACTCACCCCAAAGCTTCTCCTGTCCAGGTGAGCACCCCCAGCTCTCCCAGCCTGGCTCCAGAGCTGAGGGGCTCCAGCCCTTGGAGCATCTCCGTGGCCTCCTCGGGACTGGCTCCAGCAGCTCCAGCTCCTTCCCGTGCTGGGAGCCCTGAGCTGGAGGCAGCTCTGCAGGTGGGTCTGTGCTGGGGGGCAGAGGGGCAGAATCCTCCCTGCCCTGCTGCCCACGCTGGGGATCAGCCCAGCACAGGGGGGTTCTGGGCCAGGGCCTGTCCAGCTCTCACCCACTGCACCCCGAGTGCTCCTCCCAGAGCTGCTCTCCAGCCCCTCATCCCCAGCCTGGACTGGTCCTGGGGGTTGCAGCATCTTCCCTCAGTCTTACTAAACTTCCTACAGATCATTCCAAAAGGAGGTTTTCAGTACCCACATTCTGGAGAAACCACAAGGAATTCCGTTCCTGGACTTGACTACCCTTCCAACCCAGCCATTCTCTATACAAAGAACGTGACATTCGAGTGTTTTGGAGAAGGCTGGGGACATCCAGGAGAACGTGGGGTGGCTGCCAGGGGGGATATTTGCAGCCAGGATTGGTGCTGAGCTGCAGGGCAGCAGCAGTTTGCAGGAGCACTCCCCATGGAAGCTGGAGTGAGGATCCCGGTGCTGCATACGGTGCTTGCTTTAGTTAAATGCAAACCGGCAATCTCTGCCTTCACATGTGACAATTGCCATGCGATTTCTGTCTCATTAAGCTCTGAAATGTAAAACAAATGGGATTTATGCGGCTGCTGCTCGGCATTCGCTCACACGGAGTCAAGTCTTGCCTTTAGTGGCTCTTCAGTCTTATCACTGTCTTATCTCTGTACCTGCTGCTCCCCCACCTCAGGCTGAAACGGAACAGACGGACCCGGGGCAGATGTAGCAAACAAATCCTCCTGTTTTCCCCCAGGTTGTGACACCAACTCTCGTGGATGTCACATGAGCCTTCCGTGCCTCAGTTCCCCCCACGTGCCACTGTCAGATCCACTCGGCTCATTCAAATTCCAGCCCACCAATCCAGCATGTTTATTTACAGCACTGTGCATGGAATAACAATCTCTGAAACGCAGTTCTTTGTAAGGCTGGCAGGAGAAATTGTACAGGCAGCATTTGGGAGGTATTTTGGAGAACGTGGACCATCAGTGAAGTGCTTTTCCACACACAGAGTATGAAAATTTAAAGGCTGTTTACAGAGCATTTGATTCCAGCAATCATTCCCAGGGGTACTGGGATGGCGTACTGTAAACTCAGTATTTGGGGAGATTTCACTGGTGCCAGGCTGGCCTGGCTGATGCTCAGGACATAAAGCTTTATGGCCACGGGTGTCCAGGGCACTGGTGCTGATCTTCCAACTACAAAGATCATCCACCCACCAATGCTCCACAGATTGGCAGCACCAACACGGGTGGTCTGAGGTCCAGAGCATCTACAGCAGCACGACTGGTCACTGTGTCCTGCAGATGTCATAGAATCACGGAATTGATACGGCTGGAAAGATCTTTAAGGTCATCAAGTCCAATGGGCAAGTCAAGGGGATTCACTTAAACCACATCATTTGGGATGCCCCATCCCTGGAAGTGTTCAGGGCCAGCCTGGACACGGCTCTGAGCAACCTGCTCTAGTGGAAGGTGTGGAACTGGGTGGGCTTTATGGTCTCTTCCAAATCAAACCGTTCTGGGGTTGCCTAGAAAACTGCTGGAGAGCACGAGCCTCCACTCTGGGCAGCCCAGCTTAATGCTGGATTTTGCTGACAGCAACTCAGTTTTGGGTACCCACGTGGCCACCTGGAGAGGTGTGACATTTACTCAAAGTACCCAGAAAATGCCCAAACCACCACAAATTAGGTACCCAGAGGCAGAACTTCACCAAGCTCTGGCTGCTGTTGGCTCCTCCAGCCTTACCCACGGGTGCTGAAGGAGCCAGAAATGGGACAAGGAACCAACCCCAGCTCCACACACACCCTGCTGCCCCAAGGCCACCTTCCCAACCCACAGAATGTTGTCACCTCGGGCACGAAACACCCTGCCAGCAGCAGAGCCAGCTTGTGAGGAATTGTAATGCCAGAGGCACAAAGCGGCACAGGAGGAGACGGATTCTGGAGCGCCTGGAAAACCGGGGAGAAACACAACAGCAAGGAGGAGCTTTCTATGGGAAGCACAAAGCCAGGTGTTGTTCAGCAAAGCTCACTCTGCACGCTCAGGAGGAGAGCCTTGGACAAAAGCAAGAGCTCCCACTGATGCCTTTGTCGAGCTTGTAGAACCGAGATTTCTCTGGAAGAAAAGCAGCCCTGCGACAATTATTTATTGCCACAAAAACATCTTCCTCCTCAGCTTTTGTTGGTGCAACACAGACCACGTGTGGCTCCAGCCAGGGAGAGAGAAGCTACCAACAGGATCAAGGAAGGCTGAGATTAATCTGGTTTAACATAGATAAAAAACCAACTCGAGCAATCAGTTTTAAAATTAATATTAAAGTTGTAAGTCACCTTTGACTATATTAAAATACAAACTGGAGCACACAATAAGCCCCAAATAAGCCCCACTGGCAGTCAGAATGGCTCCCTTATCAACCTCTAACATCCTCTGTAAAATAATAACGGGAAGCCAGACTGCTCTGAGAGAAACTCCCTCTCCTGGGGCACCACGATGTGACCCAATTCCTGCTGCCATTTCAGGAGCCCTGGCTTGGCCAGTGCTCCCTGTGCCAGCGAGGAGCTCAGCTGCAGCAGGAATCATCGGGGAGGGAGAGCTGGCACGGAAAGGCCGGGCACAGAGCTGTGCTCTGGGTGTGTCTGCTGGGGCACAAAGGGACTCGGTGCTGCAACTCGGAGGCTTTGGTGTCTTTCTTCCCCTCCCAGTAATGCTGCAGAGTTTTGGGAACTGATTTTCTCCCAGCCCTTGGCTTTTCCTTCTCAACATTTCCAAACTTTATTTGCTATTGCTTTGCAGGAGGCTCCTGCTGAGGGAGCACGGATGGGTGGAGCGGGGCAGCACCCAGGGAAGCTGGGCTCAGCAGCTGGGGCTGGATGGGCAGCACAGCCCAAGGTCCTGTGCAACATCCAGGGGCAGGTACCCAAGGACACAGCCCATAACAGAGAGAAGGAACACAGGGAGCTGTGGGCAGCAGCCTGAGCAGCCCCCCAAAGCCAAGGACAGAACGGGGACACGCGCTGGTTCTTCTGCCCTGCACCTCTGCAGTCACCATCAAGTGGCTCGTGCTGGCTGCACCCAACACAGAAATGTCTCACCCACACCCAGTGGACACTGGCATGACCTAAAGAGGCATCTCTGGGTAGTTCAGGGGTGGAACTGTTAGTCTCCACACAGGGTGAGAAAGGCTGGACAGGCTGAGCCAAGGGTGCTGGAGCAGAGCCCACCAGCCTCACCTGCTTACACACACAGGGGGCAGGTGGGTCCTGGGACAAAACTGAGGCTCCTCATGCTGCCACAGAGCTCTGTCACCACAAGACTTACGTGAGCTGCTCCCCGGCACACGGCTGCCTGCCTGAGAGGGCTCCAAATAAATAAATAAAGCCACTGCCTCATTAGCATGCAAATGTATTCAAGCCCCATTTCAATTTGAATTCTATGCATACGATCAGAGTGCAAAATGCAAATTATACAAATGCACCCATAGGAAGAAACAAGCAGGAACTCTGCACAAAGGGATTAGGGCCAGGCTACTTCCCTCAGGAGACTCCAGCGCTGGGGGGGCTTTGGTTGGGGAGGATCCTTTAATGGCCACCAGTCACACTGCACTGAGCTTTGCTGCAAACACTTGGAAAAGCATCCTGACTCCGGCTCTGGAGCAACGGCTGGCTTGAAACTGGCTCAGGGAGAGGAGGGGAGGGCAAACAGACACCAAGAGGTGCTGTAGTCTCAGCACTCGCAGCCAACCGTGTCCCCAAGCACACATTCAGATTGGCCTGAGGGAGCAAAGTGTCCCCAGTGCTCCTCAGCAGCCCCAAAAGGCACCATTAGCCAAGTCCAGCCACCAAGCCAGGGAAAGGGCTCAGGACAGCCAGAAAGGGACAGCAAGGGGTGTCTCAAGCAGCAGAGACCATCAGGAAGAGGGTCACCACCACTGTCCCCATCTCAGTGACAAGGGAGGTGATGCTCCCCCAGTCTACTCCACCTCTCCTTCCCATGCAGATTTGGCTGGGAAGGCTCTGCAAGGTGTGGGAGGAAAGATAGAAGCCCAGCTTGGAAGGTCCTCTGCAGATTAAGGTCATGCCAAGAGACCCCAACGGAGCTGATTTTAGCTGAGTAAGGCTGAGCTCTGCTCCAGCACAAGCCCCAGGCCCTTTGTCCAAGCTCCCAGGCCCAGCAGCCGGTGGTGTGGGAGATCCTGCTCCCAGGGACACTCCAAGCCTGGGCAGAGCAGATGGGAGGCTGTGCATGCTCATCTCTCCCTCCTACGTGTGTGAAATTCTCAACCCACCATTATCGTATTACATTTTCATTTTAAAGTAAATATCTGTTTTCAATTAGTACTTACCGTGAGGGGCATGCATCACTGAGAACACTTATTTCTCTTCCTTTCATTATTAGATTAGGAGTCGCTCAAGTTTAACCACATTTAGCAGCAGCAGACACCCAACTGCTCTGCAGACACTAATCCTCTTCCTATCTCCACCCCCACAAAGGTCCCAATCCAGCCTCCCTGCCAAGGCTGCAAATCAAGGTGTGGCATGAGCCTGGTGAAGCCCTGGCCAACCTTCCTGAGCCCATCCACCAATTCCCTGCACATCCTCCCTCCAGGCTGTTACATTCCATTGCTTTTCCTTCATGCCACAAAATCTCACCCTCTGGCCATGTCATCTGTGTAGCAACAAGGGCCACGTGGAGCCCCCAGGGCTACATGAAGTGAATAAAACCTGGAGCAGAGCTGCTCCAAACCTGACAAATACAACCAGAAGCATGGGGGGGGATCAACCAGTCTGGTGCTCCACCTGCTCATTCAGTCTTGGGTTAGCACTTGGCTGCCCAATATCCTTCCCAAGTCTCCCACTCCTCATCTTCCCCCAGTAAGAAAAGCCCTTCCTCCCTGTGGGATCACCCAATATCCTTCCCAAATCTCCCACTCCTCATCTTCCCA